ATCTGCCAYATATTTTGTCAACTTGAAAGACTAACTCTTACAATCTCAGAGGTATTTGGGTATCATCCTGAACTGCGCCATCCAGCTATGCAGCACCACTTCGGCACTGGCACTGTACTCAACACATCAGGACAACAGCACAGACTTTCAAAAGCTGTTTGCCGAAAATGGCAGGGAAGAAGTTTAGGTGCTCCTGCAGCTCATAGGCTGCACACATCATAATGGACCAAGTATCAGCCTCCTTCTCCTCCGCCTCCTCAGGAAGACAGCCAGCTTACACTGGCTGAGGCTGTTGATTTGGTTTAGAAAGCCTGTAAACTATCAGGTTCTTTTCTCCTCCTGCACTTCTCTTCCTTCTCAAAACTTTTGTGTTCTCGCAATGTCAGCCGGAGGGGTGGCCACTCACCCTGCCATTACCTCCTGGCAGGCAGTTTACAGCTGTTMTACCAACTCGGTAGCTGGTCTTAGAGCATGGTTTTAGATTAATTACCCTTACAAACACAGAGCTTCTTCTGCACTGAATGACAGTGCCCTTTCTGAGCTCTGGTTTGACTCAGGGCACAAGAAGCTCATTAACCATCAGATGATTCAGCACTTGGTGCCTACATTTCTGCTGGCTGGTTTTCCTCAGCTGAATACAGCTTTGAAGAAGTATCATTTATATGATACCATCAGACACCTGACGAGACACAGGTGTCAAGGCCCTCCAGCTCCAAGCCAGTACTAGTTTTATGTGATGGAGACTGCTCCTAAATTTTCCTCTTTGTTATGCAGCTTTATAATCACATTCCCCACAAAAATCCTGACTGTAACAGTCAGCAGCTTTTTTTCTCCAGCTCTTTCAGAAAGAAATCATTCACAGAAAAGGGGTCAAAAACAAGATCTCAGGTCACAAAAGAACTGGTAAGAGGTTCTGAGCAGTGGGAGGATAATCTCCACATTTCATGCTCAGAAAAGAGCAGGATTCTTGTCCCACCAAAGCTAACCATGTGCAAAAAACTGTCAGATGCAGTCCCTCCCCACCCCCAACAATCCCTTCTGATTTGCTCATGGCTACTAATCTCATTACAGTTCCTATAATTAAAGCACCATAAAATCTGATAAAGAATACAGTATGTCGTTTAAATTAACTCACCCTAAGTCTTTTAATGCAAGAATGACTACTCCAACAGAGTTACAAGATTTACAAAATAAAGAATCACTAATGAGCACAGGATCAAAACTGGATTATCAAGTTTCCCGATTTGCATKTAGAAAAAGCAGGCACCGAGGTTTCTATAAAATTTTTGGAGCCATTTTATAGGAAAAATGAAATGCTCTCTCYGACTTAAATGAACAAGCAGCCCAGAGAGGTTAGGAATTGAATCGCTCTTTTACCAAACCTCCGTATGCAGTTTCTGGGTTTGATACGACGTTTAACGGAGAGAAAGATGGGAAGCGAAGGAGATGCGGATGTAATATTACACCTGCGAGATTAAGTGTCCTAGTGCTTCCTTCTCTATCCCAAGTTTGTATGCTGGATRTAAGAGTACAGAAACCCACAGCTCCCAGCTGAACAGGAAATAATTCTTCCACACTTTTGACCCTAGCCTCACTCAACACGCACCTGAGAGCCCATCAAGGGAGAACACTGGCCTTTCAGACAATCACACTCTTCAACCTCWTCCATGAAGCATAAAACACAACAGCTCTGGGCAGCACTGATTCCCAGATACAGGGCTTGCTGGGACCTGACTCACACTCTGTGCGATCCACACCAGATCCTGAGCTGTGAAAGCCACCACACCACATCCTGAGCCGCAAAAGCCACAACCTCTACGATGATAACCCATCATCCATACCTTTCAATTACCATATCAACAACTGGAGTCCAAACAAATAGGCACAGAATTTTTTTTTTGAATGGTAAAGCAACTGGTCATAGTCAAACCCTGAAGAGCCCAATGGCTCTGTGACTATCAGGAAGGAAGACAGAACAGCTAAATTGAGGTAAAGTTACGCCATTTCCCAAAGTCAGGTTTCAGATCAGCCTGGGCATTCCAGGCTTGCCTGCTAAGCTTCTGCTCCAGCCATTAAATCTTTGAAAGGGATTATGCAGCAAGGTGCCAGTGATAAGAAAGACTGCACTTGACCTCTAAAGACCTTCAGATGTTACCCTCATTTTCCAGTATCTAGTAACATGATGAGCAAATTCTGCARTTGGAGCATTTTCATCTTTCCTTTTAAGAATGCCTAAAACTTCGGTTGATTTTCTGATCTATAAAGGGCTCCAAGGCAGAAGTTCTGATGCTGCTATACATTTGCATAGAAGAAAGCAGTGTGCATTAACAGAGTTTTTATTTTGCCACTCCATTAAACATCATTTTAGAAATCACAATGAACACATCATGAAGAATACAGCTTTCTTTGGTGAGGGAACACACACAGACATCAAAGGCAACATGAATTATTTTAAGTGCTATACTTCTGCCAACATATTCCACATTTTCAGCATGAGACCACTCCTCCAGAGATGTAAAGTCAGCCAGTGCACAGATTGCTATTTCTCTTACAAGGAAACCAAATCTAAACAATGTACAATGATGCTTGGGGTTCTGTTTTTCAGGTGKTTTTTTTTGTTTTCAATTTCAGGTACATTCTTAAATCAGACTGATCATATCCAAAAGCAAGATATTTTTAAATTTTCAAACAAAACCAGCTTTTCAACATTTATTACTTTTGAACTTCTGGTAACTTTTCATTTTAATTAGCAACAAAAAGTGGAAACTCTCAAAGAGGAAAGGTGACTCAATTTCTAACCTATACTGGCTTTTCACTGATCCTTCCCAGATATTCTTCTAATATAACTGACACGGAGAAGCCTTTCTCTCTCCCCAGGATGACTCACAGGGTCCTTCCACTGCACAAAGGAAAGACAGATCACTTCTTGTTCTTGAAAAATATCACTTTCTTGTCCTTTTCAAAAAAGGAAGATAGGAGAAGAACACACTGGACTGTTGTTATATTTGTTTCCTTTTTCTCTGAACAAATTTATCAAGCAACTAAAATTCTGCCTGGTCATAAAAGCATCTGTAACAACATGTCCACAGAAGTACTCTGTGAATCTCAGTCCTCAAGCCCTGCCCCATCTTTAATGCACAGGAGTAAGTACCCATATGGCTATRTGCCATATGGGTATCTTTCAACAGCTGATGGGATCGGCTTTGTGAGTGCTTAGCAATAGTAGTGGCTTCCTTGAAGACAGTGTCCCTGCATACACATCCAATACCTGGCCAATGCTAAACCCACTTCATAGCGCATACACCTGGCTCCCAGGCCAGATAGCTATTTCAGCCACCAAATTACTGCTTCATTCTACAAGAGTCCAGCCTAAACGAGGCAGAAGAGTTCTTCAGTATGGCTTTAGACACCAGATCATGTAACWCCTATTGCATCACTGTAAACTGAAGGCACCTGCCAAGATAGGGAAGACCACCCTGACATCACACCATTTGGCAATTTCCAGCTCCAAAAAGTCAATATTCTGACACATGACCTCAGCGGCTGATATCAAGGTGGCACAAGTTTTCACTGGCAGTATAATGGAAAAATTCAGTTAAAGTTTTGAGTCTACCACTTACCTACAAATCAAATCATTCTGGTCTCTGCGCATGAAGTCTCAAGAAGACTTTTTGGAAACACTCTGACTATCCAATCCATCAGTTCCCAAGTTAAGCCCTTCCCTGTTATCTAAACACATCAAAAGGAATCATAAAAATGCTAGTGAGTTTACTATTAGCCAGAACAAATGTTACCACTACCAGCAAATGCCACATAAGCTACCAGGACCCAGAGAGGAGCAACTTTCCTCCAAAGAAGTTACTTGGCTTCGGATAGCACGTGCAATTTCCAAGCAGTGAAATGTACTCTGGTCAGAACAGGCCTGTCAACTATTTATAGAGTGCAGGGGTAGCTGTAACCATCCATCCCTTCCCTACACCCACAGCCCAGCAGGAACACAGACCGCCTGAGCACAGCACGAAGTCCCAACAGGTGTAAAAACTCATTCTACCACCAAACTAGAACGTCTACTTTGCACATCCTAAAAGTTTCTGATGAATGAAAGCATAAAAGTGGTAAGTAAAGGGCTTACTTGGTTTTGTTTTTCCCACATACACCATACTTCTCCCATTGTTCTTCGTGTTTAGGGTGTGACTACACCAGCAACAGAAACACACAAGCATTCTGTGGTGCTAAACTAGCTACCGAAAACTAGCGAAAACAGAGCTCAATCAAGCTGCTGATTGCGGTTTGAAACAACAGCTCTGACTGACAAAACAGTGATGAACATGCAAGCACGCTATATGCCAGCTAGCTACTCAAGAAAWGCAATTGCCTGCCTAGGATGGAAAAGTTGAGTTTTCAATTTTTTTTTCCTCCAAAGAAGTTACTGTTTACTGTTAAAAGCAATTGTTCACCAATAATCATCATCCCCCCTCCCCGCCCGGCACACACTATTTTAATCTTGCATAATTGGCCTAACACCAAACGCGAGGTGTTCTGCGAGGACCGGGCCGAGCCGCACCAAGGGCCCGAAAACCCGCAAGCCCAAGCGGCTACGGACAAATCCCCGGCTCCAGGAGCCGCTTCGGAGGCGGCTGCCAATGCTCCTAAACTCCTCTCCTTAGCACTGCTCAGCCTCCTCTTTAGAGGAAGCTGGTGCCGCCAGCCAGGTCACAGCAAGAGTTTGAGATTTCAAAGCGAAAATCCTTGTAAAGATGGGAAGAGCTTGAAAACACAGAAGTGACCAGCCCGACCGGCTGCGTAAGAACGCGCGGAGTAGCGCTTCGGGAACGGTCGGTGACTGAATCCGCAGCTCGAACCCAGGTGGCGGCCGACCRCATTCCGCACGGGACGGGAAAGGATCCCGCCCGCTCCGCACCCCCTCGCCCCATCCCGGCCCGCTGCAGCGCTCAGCCCCGCGCCCCCTGCACACCCCGGCGGTGCCCGCTGGGCCGTACCTGGGAGCTGAGGTACCGCCGGAGGCACTCCTCGCACACCGCCTTCTTGCAGCAGGACAGGGGCTTGATGGGCTTCTCCTCCAGGCACACGCGGCAGCTCAGCACCAGCAGCGGCCCGAACTCGCCCGCGATCAGCCCGGAGAAGGGCTCGGGCAGCAAGAACARGTCCACCACCTCGATGCTGCCGCCCGACGACAGCGGGTCGTCGCCCGATACCACCCCGCGCCGCGCCGGGGGCTGCCCGACAGCCGGGCCGCCGCGGGGGGAGCCGGGGACCGCCGCTGGCCGGTCGTTCTCCACGCAGTAGACGGTGCAGTACACGTGCCGCCGGGGGGGGCGGCGGCGGCCGCTGCCTCCCTCCGGCCCCTCCTCCGCCGGGGCC